GCACCCTCATCTACAACAATTTCCACAGTAAGAGATTCCTCCCTCTAACCTTGACCACCACAATCCCTAGCTCTAGCTAGATTTTCTTCCCGACCACCACTAATTCCATCTTCACCTATTGACACTACACTTTCTGATGCACTAGAGACTCAAAACTCCTTGTATTTTTGCTTATCCATGGTCGATGACAACAGATCCTATTCAAGAGTACACATCTTGAGTTGTGACTGGCCAAATATCTCCCCCTTTATTTTCTTACCAAAACCGCACATTGAAAACCTTAAGATACATTCATGGTATCAAAAGTAACAACTCGCTTGCCTTTGTTATCTCTTACAAGGCAAAGCACATTTCTCTAAATCAGAATTGACGGTCACCTAGATTCCAAAAGAAACATACACCATAGTATTCAATAAAAGACTAACACACTATAAACTAACACACAAGCTCACAACGTCCCAAAGACTTTATGTCCCAAAAATCATATCCTAAGCTCTGATACCAACAAATGTCACACCCCAAAACCTACCAAGATGAGGGGTGACACGGCCGTCCTTCCACCCTAAGGATGCAGCCTCAAACTACAAGGAATCCGACTCTCAAAAAGTCCTAACGACATCGCTCTCGCTCTATTGGCTACTAACAAAGGAACCTGAAAAGATTGGAGAAAGAGAGGGGTGAGCAACTACAGCTCAGTAAGCAGTGCGTATCTCTTCTAAGCAGATCGAGCAACCACTATGCATGTATACATAAAGCCATACCAGAAACTCGTACTTCAATCCAAAGATATAATATATATATCAATCAAATACGAGTTATTTTATTTCATCAAAGCTTTATACAAGTCCCAAATACACGTTTAAATCCATCATCACAATTCAAACTATCAATGGTCAAGTCCATTGATCAATCTCTATAAAAACCACATCAATGGTCCATTCCATTGACTAATCTCAAATCACACATCAATGGTCTATTCCATTGATAAATCTCATATAACATCACACGTCGATAGTCCATTCCATCGACCAATCTATTGCTCAATATCAAACCATGGTCACGACATAAAGCCTTGTGACAAGGCTACCAAGATTCCCCCCTTGGCAAGGTCTCTACCTACAAAGCCGGTGGCTCGGCCCAGAAGGATATCCTAAACCCGGTATGCATACCCCAAAACCCCTCAATGGGTTCACAGTCATATTGAGCATCAAACAATCATCATCCAATATCAGAATTCCAATCCATAATACATTTCATAAACCAAACAAATAACTTTCTCACAATACAGTTCATCCGCCAGAAATACATTTCGGCATTTCTTGAATCATTTCCGAAGTCATTTCATAAACTAGTTCATAACGCAATATACATATGTATCCTTTCACAATACATTTCCAAAACGATTCTCAAATCATTTCACGATAATCGATATATAAGCCATTTCCAGAAATGCTTTACCATGCCATTTTCAAATAATCAACATGGTAGTAAATGCCCGATCCGAGCTTTTATGCAATAACAATGCTATTTAACTCATAACATATCTGATTCATATCGTTTTCGAAATATGAGTTTACAAACTCAAAGAAGAGATAGCACCACTCACCTGAAAACCCCAAAAATTACACAACGACGCTCACTCGAATCGACGATCTCGTAACCCTAACAATTAAACGAGAATCGATGTCAAAACCAAGTAAAATATTATGATAATTACGAAACGGCCAAACGATGCTTAAACGTTAACAGGACAACTAAAAAGCGCACACAAATTGCTCATCCAAAACGATTATCCAAATCGTCCGCAACGCGAAACTTGAACGCGAAACTTGATTGCCCCATAACTTCCTCCATCGAGCTTCGATCCTAGCAAACTTATAGTCAAAAGAAAGCCCGTTCCGAGTATTACAAAAGCCTCAGCTTGGCCATCTCAAAATCGAGCCGAAAACCAACGAAAATTGGCCTAAGAGCCTCTGGTCGCGCACTGTTCACATTGCCCGGCCAACTTTAAAAATTCATATCCGGTAAACCGTAAGTTCAAATCAGGTTCCGTAAAATCCCACGGCTCCATGGCACCCTAAACTATCAATTCTATATATATGCGCAGCTCAACGACTCAAAAAATCGGACTTCGCAGCTCTAATTTCCCAAAATACCGAATTTAAACCCTAAATCCGAAAACTTTTCCGATTGGATGAACGAGGGGCGCGAGTACGTACCAGGCGTTGCTAATCGAAGTCAAATCGGCTTGGCGAGATCCCTGCAGCGCAAAATCCCCTTCTCTTTTCTCTTCTTCTTCTTCTTCCTTCTCTTTTCCTCTCTTTCTCTCTTTCCCTTTTCCCGGCGAGAGCTCACGGTCTGCGAACGTGCCCCTTTCTTTTCTCTTTCATTTTTATTCCTTCGACTTTTCAACCTTTTGCTTTTCTTTTCTTTTCTTTTAAATCCAAATATTACAGCTATACTGCAGTAGCTTGCAGGCCGAGCTTTGCTACCAACGCCGCGTTTCAAGTGGGTCTAGAGTCATAGCAAAGCTAACTTGGCATATATAAAAGGAAAACTCACCTCCAACCCAAAAGATGGACAAAGTCGAATGAAAAATGATGCCCAACAGAATGGTTCGAATCTGGTTCCAATAGTGCACCACAAACTTCAAAATTTCATCCAACCCAACCTTAACCCCAAATTGACTTTTGTAAAATCCCACGATTTAATGACAGCCTAAACTTTCTTTACAATATTATTTCACTGCTCAATAACCTCTAAAATTAACCCGACAACTCGTAATTTAACAAAGTTCGAAATTACAGCTTCAGTAAGGAATTCTCTCTTATTGAAGGAATCGAAGCTTAGATTTCTTAACGAGTGCTTCAAAACGACGTTAGTCCGGCACGTCAAGATGTTTGTGCCTTGTACTGAAGAAACCTCGCTTTTCTCTCTAGCAGTTCCCCTCTCTTTTCGGTTTTTCGTTTTCCCGACTCTCTTCTCTCTCTTTTCTTGTCTTTCATTTTCCTTTGAGAAATGGGCTGTAAAAGAAATAAAGAGGAGCTAAAGTAATAGCTTCATGGACTTAACTGAGATATAGGCTTGAGTCTCTTGGGCTTACATATATATTTTTTTCAAAAGAGGCCCATTTGTTATATTTTTTTTTTGGTCGAACATTTGTTATAGTTTAGGTGTGCACAGGTGATGCTGCATATATACTTGGATCTGCAGAAGGTAAGGCTGTCTAGATCCACCTTTTTGGCGTGCAGGGGGCTTTCATCTGTACTTCACCTATGTCCCTCAAATCTGTGAGCTAGTCTCACCAATTCTCAAGGCCTTGTTCTTAATTTATTACGTATAAATAAATAAAAAGAGGCTTATAGGCAACGACAGAGTCTGATATTGCTTGGGTGTGCACAAGCGAGCCTGCATATATGTTTGGTTCCCATGAAGGAGAGGCTATCTAGACCTACCATTTTGGCATGCCTTGAGCCTCAAATCTGCAAGCTATTCTCACCGAGAAGCAGTCAATCTTCCGTATCCTTCGAAGAAGATTTACAATGAAAGAGCCATTATAACCTAAGAAAATGGGAAAACTAAGCGAGTCTTTTCATGCTCCACTTCAGAAACCGCCATCAGAGGCATGGGGAAGTTACCCACTTCCAGCTACATAGATAATTTCTTTTCAAGAAAGTACGGTTACTGTTGCGGGATTGGATCTCTTATTCTAGGAAAAGAGATATTGTCAATATTGTATTTTTTATCTTACTACCTATTTAGGAGTGTTTTCCTATTTCAGGTTGCTTGTTACCTTTGTTGTAGCAACCTAATTCTGTATAAAAAGAAAGAATAATGGCAAAGCAAAACTCACGAAAAAAAGGAGAGAAACACCGTGAGAGATTTGTCCGAGGACGTAAGTTTATTGCTGAACCTCGTTAATTCTTGTGTGTTATTTCTTTTGTGATTATCTAAAATTCAACAGTTACCTACAGAGCTTCATGTGGGCTTTTGCACTAATATATCATATCAAGAGCCAGCGTTCCACTAACCTATTGAGCATTAACCCACCATAACTATTACAATATTATTCATTGGATTCTAGCACTCTCTTGAATGAATCATTGGTGGTATTTTTAATGGATGTTAGTACTTTTATGTATTCGATGTGCGTAATATCCCTACTGTCAATGCCCTTTGTTGGGATCTTATTGATATGCTGAATGCAAATAATTTAGCTAAGGAAGAAAGCATTTCAATACTCTTTAAAAAGCTTAATTAGATAATGAGTTTTGCTTTAATTGAGGGATTTCTAAACAAGAAGCTGAATGTAAGTCAAACTCGACAACTCAACATAATCATTCAACACTGCTTTAATTAAGGAATTTTTAAACAAGCACAGATTCACATAATGATTAACATCGCCATGCTGAACAATGAACTTTCCCCGGGCTGGACAAGCTTCGCTTAGACGAGACAGTCTTGTGCTTCTCAGGGCCAACCCTGATTTTGGTAAGAGCTCCTAATATTCAAATACTGAGATGAGCATCTCATCATTGTTTCGATTTCATTACCGGAACGTGGGAAGGAGAAGAAGAATAATCTACTTCCGGAAGAAATTGAAAAATTTCCTCGGGAATCCATGGGTAGGCAATCTGGTAAACTGAATTGGAACATCTCTGTAGCAAAAGTAAGAGAACGGAAAAGACTCCAAATCTGGTAGGTTCTACACGAAGGACTTGGTTCTCTCATGCGTCACAGTCCTAAGCTTCCTAGCAAAGCTTCTTGGCCAAGGACGAGCCCTTGCTGCGCTTGGTGAGTTGGAACACCAAGCCAACCTTCTTTCAATAGATTGTTTCCAAGGATTATATGGCGGATCGCGTCATTATAATTTAACGTACCACGCCAAATTTTGCTCGAACATCTAGTTCCTCGAACGAGACAATGTTTACTTTAGCACAACAGCTAGTTTTGGCCTCACGTGACCATCATCAGGAGAGCGACATCAACTCCCGATGAAATTGCACGCACAATGCCAACCCCACCTTCAGAGATTCCTTAATACGATAATCATTCCAGTAATGGATTTCTAGCACAAACACCCCGACGCCCACTCCCAGTAACAAGTTGTACCAGCCCTTTTGCACCTTCAAAGATCCTCTAAGATGATATTATTTCGAAGACGATAATCATCACAATATGTTGAACTGTGTTTCTTCTAATTATATCAATACGCATGTGTACAAAAAATTTGGACAAGCATGCTGCAGAAGGCTGACTTGACTATAAATTTACTGCCAACTCTCAGTCCACCTTCTGGCCACTGCTTTGATTTGCCTTCTTAGGATAATGGAGTGGATCAATGAGGAATGCCTCGATGTGTTCGTACATCTCTTTCGGCTTCTCTTTATTTATCCCATGACCACAATCCTTTACAACCACTAATTGCCCGTTTTCATCCAAATGCCTGGCCAAAGTCATTCAAAGGATAAACAAAGACACAGGTTATTCCATAAGAAAATCTACCAAGAGCCATAGAGCAAAAATAGATCCTCCTGATATTTGATGCACGTGAACATTGAATTTTCAAATGGTCTTAGATCATTAAGAACATTTCAGTTCTGAAGATTTGTTTTCCTCTCATGATGTTGTTTATCTAAATTCTTGTTACAGAATCAAGCTTCTGAAGATAGTTGAAAAACCAAAGCAAAGAGTAGAAGGGGAACCTCTTTAATCTGTGACCCAATTCCAATGGAAAGACTTTATCATATTCCGCCCAGATTATCAGTGTCGGCTGCATCAGAAAAGATCAATGGCTTGAAAGGATGCCAAGGAAGAGAGAAGATATCAACAAAATCAATGTGAATATGTAATGAGTAAATTGCGTGAGTCCAATAGAGAGGATAGAGATTTTAAGAGAGAAACCTGAGTTATTTTGGGAAGATTAGACATCTTCCTATCTCTGTACAAGGCATTGACCAGCCCTATCCTTTCTTGAAGGTTATCCTTCCACATAACCTGCAGACAATCATGGTGACCTTTCTTGAAATGCCACAAAACTTGAGTGATCGAGATAAACTTTTCCTAGATTGCCCGTGAGAAACATCATCAAATAAAATCTAAATATTTAGCTTTTCATAAGTCAGTTGAAATATCAACCAGAATAAAAATAAAAGTAAGTCAGTTGAAATGGCACAGCTAAGATTGATGACAGTGGGAGTTATCACTTTGCATCACAATCCGCAGTTTAATCTCCAGCGGCCTTCATGACTAGACATCTTGTGTAGTCTCAGCTCACAAGGAACAAGCTACTTATTCATTTTGTCTAGCATCCGAAATGTTCCATATAGTCGAGAGCATGGACTAGACAATGCCAATGCAATATTCCTTGGCCTCAAATATGGGTTAGAGGGAAGAAAGCTGCAATAGTCGATGGCACAATGCTGAATCCTAATTTTTGTTCAAACAAAAGTTCAAAAGTCCTTGCACGAGTATTGATTTTCATAGAATGGAAAAGTAACACTGTATTTACTCTGTTCTCTAAAAGCAAAGGACTTTCTATTTACGTACCTCCGTGTATTAAGCATCCACATAAACATAACAAACACTCCAGAGCTGCTAAAAACAAGGAAAGAAGCTTTGTTCAACTATAGAATCTAATCCTCCTGATACATCGTAAACTAGAGCAATAACAATTGTGACGCTAGACCACTATGAGCATGGTCAAGATTGGCGTAGTCATAACATGAAAACAGAGGAGAGCCTTGTAAAGATTCTACTTCACCATTCAATGTAGCTATTAGCTGATAATTAACTGTACAAACTTCCATTAGAAATCAGGAAAAGGAAGTGCGCCAATTTCGTTAGCAAAGCACACAAACTTTGAACCCTTGGCATCAACTTAACTCTGATTTCTTAAGCAATGTTCAAAAACACAATCGTTCAGCTGAGAGATTTGTAGCTTTTCATCAACTTACATCAATATAATCCTGAATAAAGTAAGTGGGCACTTTCTTCACCGGCTTGTAAAAGACGAAATCGAACATCTCATACGCTTTCTCTGCTGTCTGCGGGAACAGCAAAGTCACGGCTTCATCCACGGTCTTCACCTGCCGAAACGACATTGCACCAAGACTCACTTAGTTCCTCTATCACAAGCATCAAGAAACGGTAAGACACGCAGTGAACTCCACAGGAAATACACACAAGTATCATCAATAGAACTAGTCCGTCTAATGTTTATAGGCTCACCTGAAACATCCCCTCCTCCATGTCCTTCTCCTCCAAACACACCCCTGCACAGCACAGAACCAAGTTCTCCACCATCTCCGGGAACTGCGCCGCCAAGCTATAGGCCACAAACCCGCCGTAACTCAACCCTACCACGTTCAGTTTCTTCACTCCCTGAGCTTCCAAGACTCCTGCAAAAAGAGTCAATGTGCTGATTCCAGTCAGTCTTGCTCGGGTCATGTGCTGCGCTGTCGCGTCAGAAAATCGACAGGCCCACCTGCGACGCATTGAGCCTGAAACTGCTCGGTCCGCTCGGGCCGGGTCGTGTAGGAATCGCCGAAGAACACGAGGTCAGGCACGTACACGTTGAATCTGGCGATGAAGGGCGAGAGAAACTCGTTCCACTGCCACATTGCGTTGGCTCCGATGCCGTGCAAGAGGAGCAAGTTGGGCTTGCTGGGCTCGCGCGTCTTGGGGACCCAACAGTGCATGACCGTGCCGTCGCCGAGGTCGGTGGTGGTCGACTTCAGGCCCGCCAGATAAAAGGAGAGGCGGAACCATCTGTCCCTTATCGCTGTAAGGCTGAAGCACTTCGCCATCAAGATTTGGTTCTCTTGTTGGGTCTTCTGCGGGTTTACACCCCTTGAGGTATTTTGAGGAGTGGGTCACTTTCGGAGGACGGGTTAGGTCGAAAGATATGGTGGGTTTGATCAAGAAACGAAGAGGGTTTTTGCTTTTTTCTCAAGAATCTAATATTATTGGATTGAGCAGAGGTGGAGATTGAGGCAATCTGCTAACTGGGTATCTTCTTCAGTACGCAAATTCTGGCGTTTACTGGGATAAAGATTCATCGAAAGGAGACAAAAAGTTGGCCTCAAGAGACGGAGGTGGAGGAAGAGCCAATGACCGGAGAGGACTTTGAAGCTTTTAGTTAGAAGGGATAGGTCGACAAAAGTAAGTGAGACGGTCGCACTTTTCCATGGTGATTATCGAATAATATTGCACGGTCTACTAAAACAACATATCAAAGCCATCTCAATCGTTAATCATTTGAGTCACTATTGTTCATATCCAGCTTAATCGTGCATATCCTTATCGGTTTAATTACCTTAAAAAGCATCAATTTTAACTCGGATCCTAATTTTGATCCAAATTTTTTTATCTCCTAAAAATTCAAAGTTAGCTATAGTCCCAATTCTAATTCAAACTTTTTTTTTTGTTTCATTGAAAAGAACCCATTTTTAATTGGTACTTAAGTTTGGCCTCGTCAAATTTTTGTCCAATGATGCTGTTAAAGATGCGACGTGTCATTTCACGTGTCAATGAATGACACGTTTAATCATTAATGACACCATTGGGCTGAACTTGATGGGGTCCAAATTTGGGTACCGATTGAAGTTAGTGCTTTTTTAAGAGATAAAAGAAAATTTGGACCACAATTGAGGCCCGAGTTAAAGTTAGTGCTTTTTTATAAGTTCAAAAACAAAGTTTCGGCCAAAATTGGGACCTGAGCCAAAGTTTATGTTTTTCTATGAGACGAAAAAAGTTAAGGCCAAAATTAAAATCTGAGCTAAAGTTGATGCATTTTAGGGAATTGGGCCTATCATTGATTAATTGTATTTGATTGTAATTGATATTATAATTATCTTGTTACATTAGATAGTCATTCTAAGAAATCTATTAATAACTCTCTCTTCTGCCTATTCTCACCTTGGTATCTTAGCCAAGTTCTACCCTAGATTATTTTCACTCGTGCGACCTCTCGTTCGTCAAATTCCACATGTTGTTTCTAATCTGGCTTACACGTGAGAGGAGATATTAAAAATATCCCACATCGCTTGTTTACGAGTTTATATACTTTTTATATGCATGTGGTCTCCCTCCAATAAGTAGTTTAAGCTTTTGAGACAGATATAAAATTCTAACTTCGTGTCTTAGTTTGTAGAAGATGACCAAAACAAGCATTGCCTAAACACTCAAAAAATATTGTAATTAGAACCACTCTCATATAGGGACTCATCGGGATAATTGTATCTATAGTTCTTTACCAATCCTTTAGTGGTTTTTAAACCTTCATCTGGATCATCCAAGGATTCTCCACTCTTGGTTATTCTCCATTCTTCAGTTTGTCATTCCACCATTATGAGTCAACCTTCTTTTTACCTTCATGATTTTCATTATTACTCTACCATTGGTTTTTTTTTTTGTGAGCCTCGCTCTTATAGAGAAGCCATTGCTAATCCACTTTAACAGTGAGTAATGGCAAATGAGTTATAGGCTTTAATTCATACTTGGGATTTGATTGGTTTGCCCACTGAAAAGTTTATTGTAAGTTGTAAATGGGTATATAAGATTAGACCAAAGACATATGGTACTGTGGAACCCTACAAAACTTGACTTGTAGTAAAAGGCTTTACTTGAGAGTATGAAATTGACTATGATGAGACTTTTGCCCATGCTATACACCTTCTTCAAATTTTTCTTTCCATTACTTCTATTAAGCGATAGTCTCTATTCAAGATGAAGGTTAAAAATGCATTTCTCAATGGTAACCTTATTGAAAAAGTCTATGTCAAGTCTCCTCCTAGATATACTCATACTCCTCACGAAGCGTGTCAATTACGTCAAGAATTATTTAGACTAAAATAGACTCATCGTGCATGATATTTCAAGTTTAGCTTGACCAAAAAATGCCGTGGCTTTACTTTTAGTCCATATGACCATGTTCTCTATATTTGGCAAACATCTCATGAGCATATTCTGTTGCTTTTATATGTATACGATATGGTTATTACTAGTGATGATCATATTGGCATTACAAAGCCTAGTTTCTCAAGCAAAACATTTCACTATACTTCTTTCTCAAGTAGGATTTACCGATGGCAAGATTGCTATAACTCTACTTGAGACTAATGTCAAATTGATGACAAAGAAGGCACTCCTCTTCCAAATTATGCACTCTATCGACAAGTGGTTGGTAGGTTGGTATATCCCCTTTTTGCTTGTCCTGATATTGCTTATGTTGTTCATATTGTCAATCAGTTCATGATTACACCATGTATGACTCACTTTGTTGCAGTTCTTATTAATGCATAATTATATGTATTATGGGGTATTTATGTAATTATGTTTATATGTGTACCCTTTCTGTAATTAGTCACTCCTATAAATACATATCATACAACCCTAATTACGGTTGAGCCACCATAAACACTTTGTCGTTGTTTTCTCTCTGACTCTAAACATCAACATGGTATCAAAGCAGGAAAACAAATCGAATTCTTCAACATCCCTACCCCAAATCAACACTTCCTTTGCTCCAATTACTATCTCAACAATGTCCAATACATCTCTAAATTTTTCTTCTTCTCTACCATCTCTTTACCCACCATCTTCTTTTTCGTTAATCCCAATTTCCCATCGCCTCCCGATAATATTGCGCCCACTTTCCCCTCTTCTTCACTCTTCACCGTCGCTCCGATCTCTCGTGCTACTCAAATTACGGCTGTGCAATCATCCTCGTTGTCGCTTGTTCTTCCCAACATCACAAGTCTCGTCTCCATCAAACTCGATGCAGACAATTATCTTCTGTGGAAATCTCAGTTTGAATCTATTTTAATATGTAACGATCTGCTGGGCTATGTGGATGGTTCTTTTCCATGTCCGCGAAGCTTATCAATGATCGACCGGCACGTAGTGGTCAATACTTCCTATTCCACCGGTGAAGACAGATCAATGCGTTCGTAGTTTGATCAATTCGACCACAGCGAAATTTTCCGTGAAGTTCACGACCTTCGGACATCTCGGGATATTTGGCTTGCTCTAGGACAACGTTTTACCGATATTGCGGCCAAGGAAATTGGACTAAAATTGGATTTTCGAATACGTGAAGAAACCCGATCGTCAATGTCGATTATCTCCAACATCGAAGTCAATTGCGGACTCTCTCACCGCAATCAATTGCTCCGTCTCGACAAGGACTTGGTGATTCAAGCCCTCAATGGGCTCCCATCCGAGTATGATCCTTTTGTCACTATGGTCACAAACGGCCCTACAATTCTCTCCTTCGGTGATCCGCGGTCACGTCTCCTCATCCAAGAAGAACGATTTCTCCGAAAATCCAATGCATCATCTTCATCGATATTCATCATGCTTTGATTGGTCACACCACTTTCATACCCACCGTTTCGAGGATCTCGAGGTGGACGTAATTCTAAAGGTCGTAGATCCGGTGGGGACAAGGTGGACAATTCTCGCGTGATAAATCGAATTGGCAATCTTCCTATGATCGGTTTGGTTCGCAATCATTATCGGCTCCCTATGCCTCCTCCACCTCCTCCGGTCGGTCTCGTGGTGGTTCGAAGCCCTATGTTCCCCCTTTCACACCGGGAGGTATTCTCGGATCTAGGCCTCATCTTACTTGTCGGATATGTAACGGAGTTGGGCATACCGCACTACAATGTCGACAACGATTCAACCATGCTTTTACCACTACCGATCCGTCGGACTCGTTCTCGCCTCTCTCGGTTGGTGAGACCTCGATTCATCTTGGTATCTTGACAGTGGAGCGTCGGCACACATGACTAGTGATATTGGTAACATCCTAAATCCTAGACCTTTTTACGATTTGACAAAAGTCTCGGTTGGTGATGGTTGTTTATTGCCTGTTAAGCAAGTCGGTAAAGCCTTTTTACATACCGGTTCTCGATCTTTATTATTATCTCCCGTCTATCATGTTCCTAATCTTGCTCGCAATCTTCTCTCCGTTGCTCAACTTTGCCATAAAAATTCTTGTGCCATTGATTTTAATGGTTCATCCTTTTCTTTGAAGGACAAACAAACCGGGAAAGTTCTCCTCCAAGCTGATTCTTCTCATGGTCTTTATCCGATTTCCAACTCAATGGTGTCATCTCAGTCGCATCCTATCGTGGCTTCCTCTGCTTCACTCACTCGCTGGCATGCTCGTCTTGGCCATCCAAATAAACAAGTTTTGAGTCGTGTTTGCAATTCTAGTTCTAAGTTGATATCATGTGAGTCCTGTCTTGTAGGCAAGTCTCATCGATTGCCTTTTGAGTCTGTTAGTCATCGTGCATCTTTTCCTTTAGTTGTAATTCATTCTGATGTATGGACGAGTCTAATTTTCTCTAATTCTGGTTTCAAATATTTTGTGTTATTCATTGATGATTATTCTCGGTTCACTTGGGCATTTCCCATGAAAAATAAATCTGAAGTGCCTACACACTTTCATCGCTTTCATTGTTTTATCGAAAATCTGTGCAATGCCAAAATTAAATTTTTACAAACTGATGGGGGAGGTGAATATACCAGCAATGCGTTTCAAACATACCTACGTGAAAATGGTATTATTCAACGTTTTTCTTGTCCACAAACCCCATCTCAAAATGGTTTATCCGAACGCAAAATCAGACACTTAGTTGAAATGTCTCGAACCTTATTAATCCATGCTCATATGCCTTCTTCATATTGGGTCGATGCTCTTCTCACTGCTGTTTACACCATTAATCGACTTCCCACTCCTGTCATATCTAATATTTCTCCTTTCCACTGTTTATTTGAGTTCAAGTTTGATTACTCGTTCTTTCAGGTTTTTGGGTGTGCTTGTTATCCTTTTCTTCCGTCTCGTGTCTCTCATAAGTGGCACCTCATTACGTGCCATGTGTATTTCTTGGGTACGCGTCAAATCACAAAGGCTATCGTTGCCTTGATCGGTCAAGTGGTCGTGTTTTTATCAGTCGTCATGTTCGGTTTGATGAGGAGAATTTTCCCTTTTCAACAAAATCTTCAAATCATAGTCCCGTACCCCACTGTTCTACATCACCTTCTTCACTTTTTGTTTACTCCAATCAATCTATTCTTCCTTCTACTTCCTTTGGCCCTCAAATTTCTCATCCGCCTCCT